GCCATATTTACAATATGTAATATAAAAATATTTTTAACTCTTAAATTGAAAGCATTCTCAGTTTAGACACAGTATAATGGAATAATTATTGATTGATACAGATTGCATGTTTATGAGTAATTTTGGACTTGTATGTAAATATCCTCTTAATATTTTAGATGCGTTAGAATGCACAAGTACTCCTGTTCTTTTTGCGGATACAGACTAACACGGCTGCTACTCTGAAAGAATGTCTATTGTATGCATTAAAAATAGGGGGGGGGGTCTTTTAAAATATTTCTCTGTAAAGTTCTTTTTGTTCAGTTCATTCTAAACTGATTATATTTACATATAATCCTAAAGATGTCTTTTTTTTCTAAGTCAATTTTTGTTAGTTTTAGTCTATTTACATTCATAATAGAAGAATATAATAGTTTTCGACAAGTCAAAAACAAGGCAGAAAAGAAAATTGCATGCAAATTGCCAAAGATCTGGATCATACATATTACAGAAATACCAACTTTCCTTATTCTTAAACTGTGTCAGTGGAAAACAATGAAATAAACTGATTTGTGTGGTTTTTTTTTTTATTTTTAAATATACAGACTTGATTGCAGCAGAAAACTCAATTTGAAGACACACAGCAATTCTCAGAAGTCGCATTCTCTCAAGAATTCAATATATGGGACAAATTTTTATTATGAAACTACTGCCAAAGTCAAGCTACCTCTCTTTGCTCCTAACTCCAAGTGTAGTACATCACTACACCGTTTAAAGTGATTGTTATGTTGCCTTTTAAAACAGATTCCTAAAGTGGTTTTAATGAAAAGGTAGTGCTCTTACTTTCACTCTATGTAACTTTACTCCGTGAATTAAGTTTTTGCTTTTTTCAGAATTCTGTTCCTGTCATTGATCCCACTGAAGTCACTGAGAGTTTTACCATTGACATCAATAGGGTAATGCATATACAGTGTTTCATACGTTTTTGAGATGAGGGAAAATACTATTTCATGCAAACCTTTATTAACCATTTAATTAAAAGTTCCCTGGTTAAGGTTTAATTTCTAAATTGTGATGTATTTTAAATGTATATACAGATAGTGTAATATATACAATAAAATATTATAATTGAGTTCCCTAGAGTGGCCTTTTTTTTTAATTATTTTTTAAGATTTTTAACACAGTGGTATGTAATGATTATAAAAATGCACATATAACTACTGGTCTTTTGCTTATTTTCATGGTCAAATTTTCAAAGTTATCAGAGCAATAAGACCACTGATCTATTATTCTAAAAATGTTACTTTAATTTTTTAAAAGATGGCATAAATTGTGGATTTAGAGGAGGGAGGGAACACAGTGTCAACAAAAAACAACCCTCATTGTTGAAATGTTATTGGTCTGAGGAGAAAAGACACAGTGAAAATATCACTGCCATCAGTCTATTCTTCTTAAAAACATATTTACTATTTTTGAAAATCAAAGCTTTTAATTTTGCTTAGGCTCTGTAGAACTTTTCATTTATTTTAAAAGGACAAAGGCCAATAATTTTCATATTTTTATTCCCCTCTGTATTTATTTCAAGAAGATGGCAGCAATGGAATAATATTTAGAAATACAGATACCATGTTTTTTTTAAGAACCGTATGAAGTCTTCCCATTTGACTAAAAATCTTTATAAGGTTAGTCATTAGGCTTTGGGCCTAAAAAAAGACTGCACTTCCTGTCAAACTGCCACATCATGGTTCCTCTGTATACACCATTTTGAACAGCTGGAGTCATTTTTAGCATGGGGAAATCACTTACATTTAGCCCATTGTTTTACTGTTTATAGATATTGCTCAATTGGGTGTGGGTGTACGTACGTGTACACACACATACTTTCTACAGTCAGGAATCCTCTTGTTGTTTTATTTAATGTTTTTAAAAATATGCCTTTGGTTTTCCAAACCTGATTTGAATTTTGTTAGGTGATTAAAAAGCCACTACTTCAGATGGCATTTATGTGGACATAAAAACTCTTCCTTCTAAGGAGTTAGATTCTAGGAATCTGTCCCAAAATAGAGAGAGCACCATGCCAATTTATTTAGAAATGATTTAAAGGCTTGAAGGAATACACAAGTTGTTATAGTGATGGTTTCTATGCTGCTGTTTCAGCTCCATATGCCATTCTGTACTAGGGAGACAAGGTGGGTGAGGTAATATCGTTTATTGGACCAACTTCTGCTGGCGAGAGGGACAAGCATTTGCGCTTACACGGGGCTTCTCAAATGTTTGTCTATCTCACCAGCAGAAACTGGTCCAGTAAATGATACTTCTTTATCCACCTTGTATCTTTAATATCCTGCGCCCAACACAACTACCCCACCACTGCCCAGGTTGTCTAGGTGCAGTTTTGTATTGATTGTGAAGTCTAGCCTCCTACTGGTGGGATCCCTGAACTGCAGTGGCTGATGGTTCTGATTGGACTGCTGCTGCTGTACTTCCACCACTTTGGTGGTGGTTTAAACTTCTTCACACGCTGTGTGCGTGTGTTAAGACATCTGGCTGTTGGACATCAGGATTCCTACTTAGCATAGGAGTAGCTGAAGCCCATTTTGTCACAACTACTGATATCCCTTCCAGAGGCAAAAAGAAGACCCAAAGATGTCAAGTATACGTGTAATTTTGGTACAGAGCAGTGAGGAGAACTTTCAGTAATTTTTTTTGCATGGGTTAAAACAGTACCTTCCAAGTCTTTATGGAAAGTAATTGTCCTCTTAGAAACTTGCTTCTCTTGTATTTTAGGAATGAGAGTGACAGGGATTCAATATAGCTGCATAAAACCAGTAGACAGATCCATCCTTACCTGCAAGAAATCATGGGGAACTCGCAACGTTGCACAGTTGCCAATGCCATTAAGAAGAGCTAACACAAAACACTACAGTAGGGAGAGGGGGTGCGATACACTTGTGAGCTCCTTTGAAGTACAGTGGCTCAGGGGAGCTTTTAACAAATAAGAGTTTTGACAATGGCAGACACATTGCTTAAAAAACCCCACCTCTCCTTTCATAGTTACTTGCAGTGCTGGTGTAGCCATGTCTGTCGCAGTGTATCAGAGAGACAAGGCAGGTGAGTGAGGCAATATCATGTATCCGACCAACTGCTGTTGGTGAAAGAGAGGAGCTAGTATCCTAGTGCCAGTAGCACACCCTGTCTCGGATTGCTAAGGTCCCAAGCCACTGTCCACACAGCCCCTAAGGAACTTTGCGGAAAGCCCCTTTTGAACGAGGGTCCTTCCCGTTTTGGGGTGGTTTTTAACCAGTGACTCCCACTGGCAACCCGGGAGCCCGCGGGCACCGAGCCTTGGGGGCTCGCGAGCTTCCGCCCGGGGATACTTAAAATAGCCCCGCCCACTCCCGGGCTATAAGCGGCTCCCGCCACTGCAATGGAGCAGGGAGCCGGCCAAGCAGCTGCTATTTTTGGCGCAGCCGGCTGGTTGCGTCAATAGCGGCGTCCCCTTGCGTCACGCGCCGCCCCGCCCAACTCTCACTTTTTCCCTTTCGTTCGCTTCAGCCCACGGGCGGCGGCTGACGCTGCTGCGTTCATGCTAATGAGCCCCCCCCCCCCCCCCCGTCTGCGGCT